TGTTCAAGGCTGCTACTATGAAGGGGATGAGCAACCAAATCTTCATAGTTTGTTCTTATGGCATAGCTGCTCTTCGTCTCCTCCCTGCTCCCTTTTTCTCCTTCAGGTCTCTGTTTCTGTGCTTTCCCTCTTTTATTACTCTCCAAAATCCAAGAAATTTCACTGATTTTCTCTTGTTTTGTTGCAGATCAAGAATAGTTTCTCCACTCAGCATCTCCATCATCTGCAAAATTGGCCTTCTTGGGCTAATTGGGTAAGTCATACAGGCTGTTATATTGTTCTAATCTCATTTGACGCTTGAGATCTATTGGGTATCACGTTTTCTTTTGGGTTAAGAAGGTCAAAAGTCAGGCAGTATTTTCTATTCTGATATTTACTTTTCATTACTTTGCGTTTTGGATTTTCAACTTTTACTTTTATATTATTTTAACTTGAAACAATTATATTTTTTTCACTTTTTTATTTCAAAAATGAAAATGATTGGGAAAACATTTTTGTTTTGATTGTTGGAATTTTTTTATTACATATTGTTAGATTTCTATGTTAATGTGATGATTGATAAATTATGAATTATTTATATATATCTTTTCATGGTTTCGGGTACATATGTTAATTTTGATGATTTTTAAGAATTATTTTATATTCTTTTCATTGATTCTATCTTGGTAATTTATAATTCAATTAACAATTCTATACATTTGATATAATTTATTTTCAGAACATAAACAGGACATTTTTCCTTTTTCTCTCTTGAACTGGAAAATTGAATTCCCAGTTCATTTTTATTTTTCCCCTTTTTATTTTCTGTTTTGAGTCTTCAATTTTTATTTCTTTTTTCTTTTTCTTTTTCTTTTTTAAACTGTGATACCAATTAATGATACTCCAGATTTGTAACTCTTTTTGGGATGCTTGAAAATAAAGTGTGAAAATTGACAACAATTAAATGGTGTGATGAAACACTATTATTGACCTTACCAGCATCCCCCCATATCAATAGGACTTAGAAATTAAAAATTCAAATGAGAAAAACGAATGATATGCCTCTTTGAGTTCAGGGTTGATTTGCTAAAGCAAAATATTGTAAACCATGCTAATCTCAATAATTAAGAAACCTTTACTATGGTAATTTGAGGAAGGCAAATTTCCATTATAGCAGCTGGGAGATTATCCTCCAAGGTGAGACTACTAACATGTTTGCTCAACCATTGAATTATTTATTATAGCTTCTTTCAACAATATTTCATTGAGCCTCATTTTCAAGTATGTTGTAGTGAAGAACGTCAACGTACTACCACAATACGCAAATGCCTTTTCTACGTCAAAGAATTTAAAAAATATTTTTTATAGTTTAAAAACTAAAAAATAAAAAAAAATTATTTAGAGATCGAAAAAATTTAAAATTAAAAGACGGGGAGGACTAAAATTAATATTAACCAAATGATGAGCTAATTCCACTCTAATAAGTGTATTAATCAGTTCAAATAATATAAAAATGAAAATAGAGTATTGTTTTTCAGAAATTATAAACTAATTAAGTATCAAAATTAATTAAATTCAGTTTTATTTAAACAATTAATATTAAATGATTTGAATAAATTAAATAATTAAATTAATTAAAAAAAATTAAATTGACTTTAAATAACACCAGGAGTTAAAATTCTAAACCATTCGATTTCACCATAACCTACTAATATATATTTCTAAAGTATTTATTATTTATGTAACAACAAAATTTCTTATTTTATTTGGTACATTTTCTCAAGTTATACCAAATTTATTTTCACATGTTAACTTACTATATATCTATGTAAATTTAAATAAATAAAGATGCATTATATTTTATGAGGTTTTTTAGTTTATGTAAAAAATTAAATCCACTTATCACTAATGTTGCATGAATCACATTAGTCCATATTTGACTTTCATTCAATTTATGATATATATTACTAGAAACTATTGCATAAATTTTTTTCTCCGTCTCAATTATGCTCTCCAAATCAGTTTTAATGATGATCAATCATTAAAAAACATTAAAAACAATAATATATATGCTATACAAAATAATAAATTTTAAAAATATAAAAATCATAAAATTTTATATTAAATTGATCAAGTTACATCGTAACTTTAAATTGCAAAATCAATTCATAATTAAAAAAAAAATCAACAATTTCACGATAAATGTATGAGTATCTAATATCATAACGGTAAAGTGCGCGTCAGTCCTGCCTCCCAAAAAAAAAAATTGGAGTCCCAACCAAAACGACGTCGTTTCCTTAATCCCCAGCTCCTCCTTCCTCTTGACCCTTCTGCAATCATCTGTGTCTCCATCTCAATC